TCTTGTGACGAGTCGATAGACAGAGAATGGAAGCAGTTAGCTTCCTCCCATAATTGGGGCATACCAGGGGTTGTGACATATATATATTAGTTACATTTGAATTTTTAGTCCTTTTTAGCTGCTTAGAAATGTAAAACAAAAATAAAAAGTAAGAATGGGGACAACAACAAAGGCAATGCATTTAAATGCAAACCCATGGCTGCCAGGGGTTTGATACCCACCAGCTCAAGGTTGACTCAGCCATCCTTCTGGAGTGGGTAAAATGAGGACCCAGATTGTTGGGGAAAATGTAAACCACTTCAAGAGGACTGTAAAAGCACCGAGAAGCAGTATATAAATCCAAGTTCTATTGCTACCAGTAAATACTCTACCTATACCATGAGAGTTATTGTTCTCTAGAGATACATGGTTCCTAAAGCATTCATGGAGTTCCACTTTCATGCCCAGCACTTTTGCTCTTTTGAGTTAAAAACCATTATTGGACTGAATAAGGGTTAGATTGTCTATTGTTAATGTACAAGCAGGAGATCTTTCTTTTTTAGTATTTTAAAAGCCCAAATAACAAATGCTGCAACCCTTCTTGTACGTCTAGTAAAAAACAAACAAAACAAAGATAAAAGATAGAATTAAACCAGAACTTTCAAACAAGGCTATTGACCATGCCATTTGGATGGATGGATGGATAGATGGATGGCTGAATGGACAGACAAACAAATAACTAGATAATCACTTCTCACTCCTCTTCAGAGGTGGGTTTCTGCCAGTTCTGCCCAGATTGGGCAAACCGGTAGTGGTGGCAACGGCAGGCTCCACCACCTGCCCATCATGCGTGTGTGTGTGTGTGTGTGTGAGCGCACGGGCATGAGCAAACTGGTAGTAAAAAAATGGAAACCTACCATGCGGACCTCCCAGGCTCCATTTTTACTGGCAGAGGGCTGCAGGACGCCGTCGCAACTGAAAATGAAGCCTCAATGAGTGATGTCGAGCTGGCCATGCCCATTCTGGGCATCCCCCCACACCCATCCCCCCCGAGGTCAAACACAACCCTGATGTGGCCCTCAATGAAATCAAGTTTGACACCTCTGGACTAGTGGCTGATGGATATTTGCTTCATCAGGTTGGCCGGTTTCAGCTGCATGACGATTTGAGTTTGGTGATCCTCGTCCCTCGCTCCCAGTTCATAAACCTCTCTGAGATAGAAGAACGTCTCACTGCAACAACCGTCATGGCTGCTCTGGATAGGCTGGAGGCCTTGCATGTGAAGCCAACAATAGTAATGCTACCAAAATTTAAGCTGGAATCATCCCAGGATCTTGCTGAAATCATTGGAGAAATGGGTAAGCAAAATTAAGAAATTAAATCAGTGGGAACATTAGAGATGAGGACAATATACCTGTATTTTTCAGAATATAAGACACACCTTTTTCCCTCAAAAAAGAGGCTGAAAATCTGAGTACTGAATATAGCATTTTTTGCCTCTTGAAACTCTGCCCCCTTCACCAAATGGCCGTGCATAGCCTTTAGGAGGCTTCCAGAGAGCTCCTGGGGGCTGGGGAGGGCAGAAATGAGTTAAAAACGGGGCATTTGTTTTGATTACATGACCCCGGAGATGCTACAATGGTCGTGAGTGAAAGCTCTGGTCATAAGTCCTTTTTTCAGTGCTGTTGCAACTTCAAATGGTCCATAAATGAGTGGTTGTAAGTCGAAGACTATCTGTAACTTTGGAAGATAATGAGGAAATAGGAAAAAACATTCCCTCTTGCTCTGTTTTCAGTGCAATTCTCTTGAATAATAGAAAATTATTAGAGTTGGGGAATGGAAAACGCTTTTGAGACTTTTAGCATTGTTTTAATGTTAGTCATTTTGGCCTCCCTTGTGAAAGGATACTTGGAAAAGAAAGAAAAGAAGAAAATGACAAGAAAAGATAAAAAATATATCACGTGCATAAACATTAGGTAATAGAAGTTGACTGGATACAATATTGAGCCTTTAATTAATGTTTAATTAAATAAGAATTATTCTAACTGGGAGAGATTGCAGAATGGGATTGACTTGCCAATATGTGTCACAGAAAGACCTTTACAATGAGGGCATTGCGAGTTTTTAGAATAGTGTTTTACAAACAAATGTCATAATTGCTCTTTAAATAATTCTGGGAAAGCAACACACCTCAGCTATGTATAAGCAGGTAATATGGACATTACCCGAACATGCTGTTTTGCAGATTTAGATATATTTTAGTTCTGTTTTTCTTTCAAGTGTTGAGCCATTTCTTATGCATCCTTTCAACGTTTCCTTTTAGATTTTGGCCTTTTTTATGATGCTGATTTGTGTGGGATGACTCAGGGTGAACTGATAGCTTTGTCCAGTGCCAAGCACAAGTCTGTCCTACAAGTCTCGGAGGAGGGAGTAGAGGGAGCTGCCGCAACAGCCGTCAATCTAGCACGTACAGCCACAGTCTTTGAAGTGCAACAGCCGTTCATCTTTTTGTTTGTGAGGGATCGTAGAGTCCCAGTCTTTATGGGACGTGTCACTAACCCACTGGCATCCTAACTTTTCCATGCCCTCCCAATTTCCATTAATGGGACGAAGCCAGCTTGCATATTACCCTAGCTAGCTCAACCTGAAAAATATAATCAGGAGGTTTGTGGAACTCTGATTCCATGGAGCACATTTATTTAGCATCTTCAATTAAAAGGTTATTTTATTTGTTCATGTTATCTTTTTTTAAACGTCTGTTCTCTGCTTCTCTGTGTGTTTTGTATATCCCTTTTGCATCTATGAGCCCAAGAGAAATCCATCTCATTTATGCCAGACATGAAGTATATGAGTGGGGCTCCACCATGTCTGTATGTTTGACCTCTTCTATCCCTTTTGGTCTTCTAAGAAATAAAGTATAATTGTATTGTCTCCTTGGACTGTTATTGCTGTATCTCAGACTAAGATTTACTGGAGAGAATTTGGGGTAAAAGATTTCTGTCAATAGCTGTTAGATATCCCCACCACCACTGATAGAGGTTTCCACCAAGGTCCTCTGTTCCGGCGGGAACAGAGGTCGAATCCAATTGGTCAAGAGGTCTGACAGATCCCTTTAAAAGGGGATGCTCTCCAACCCGTCTTCAGCCGGATGTTTACTTGACTTGCAATAAAGAGCTGTTGTTACTGGAGCTTTTGTGTGCCTTCCTTTACCCGATGTAACACTGGCGACGAAGGTGAGATTGGAAGGCAACTAGGCGAACAAAAAGAGCAACCGGAATCTTGCAAGTACATCCAGCCTGGAGTATCCTGTGTGGCATCAAGCAGACCATCACTGAAGATGAAATTAAATCAGGATGGCTATGCATGCCCCACCAACTCCATATGATCCAGCCACTGAGCCTGGGAATCGTACATGTTACGATTCGAATGTTTCCTCGAAGCGAGCGATCTCACGGGAGTTCCAGAAGCCCATAAGAAGAACATGTTCCTGAGTTACTGTGGCTGGGAAGTGTTCGAAACAGCAAAAAACATCTAGGAACCAACTCCGCTCCAAGCAGTGTCCTGGTCTGCACTGCAACAAACGCTGGAGACTCACTATGCGTCCAAGCCATCCAAATACGTTTGGCGGCACGAGTTTAACATCCGGAACCAGATGGAGGGCGAATCTATCAATGAGTATGTAGCAGCACTCTGAAAATCCGCAACCTAATGTGAGTTCCGAGACCTGGACGAGCTGACTCTGGACCGCATAATTTGCACCGTGCGAGACATTTCTCTCTCTGCAGATTGCACTAGATGAGGCTAGGGCATCCAAATCAGTTGCCAAATCGATGGAAACCCTACAGCGCCAGAGCGCCCCTCAAGACACGTGGAAAAGTACCCGCGTACATCGTGAGACTACCAAACTCGAGAGCTCCGAAACCGGGGAGGACGACAGCTACTGCATGTGCAGCAGCCACACCAAGCTGGTGCGAAAATTCAACTCACAAGCTCTGCCTGCGCCAGCTGTGGAGGAGACCATGCCCGAGCATCCTGCCATTTTCTTGAAGCAACTTGCCAGCGATGCAATCAGAAGGGACACATCGCCAAGGTGTGCTGCAGCAACTTCCCTACTGCCACCAGACAGCCCAAAGGTTCACAAAGCTGCCAACAGCGGTCCAAACCAGGGGCTTGGCAGAAGTACCCACGACAGTCAGAAGGTGATGATAGGATCGCCAACCACACGTCTGTCACACAAATCTGTTCCAGNTGATAGGATCGCCAACCACACGTCTGTCACACAAATCTGTTCCAGGCGCCTAAGAAAGCTGAATGTCACTGTCCCGGTTAGACAAAAAGGTGCCCCAAAAAGCTGAAAGTCACTGTCCTCATCGAGGACTCTCCATGTGAAATGGAGATTGACACTGGATCGTCACTGACCATAATTCCATGGTCAGTTCTCAAGCAAGCGATCCCAAAGTTATAGAAGCATCACCTCTGAAACCCCAACGTCCGCCTGCACGACTACCAGGGAAACCAAGTCCCCATCGTGGGCCAAGGCACCTTCCGGGTGAGCTACAAATGATTCAGCAGTAATCTCCCCATGACAGTGGTCAGCAGAAACCTTCAAAGCCTCCTGGGGCTTGATTGGTTCCAAGCTTTGGGGATGGAAGTGACTGGAATCAACTCCATAAGGAATGAAGGCACTGAAGCCCTCTTTAAAGAGTTCGAGGACATTTTCAGCACCGGCGCTGAACCCTCTTTAAGGAGTTTGAGGACCTTTTTGGCACCGGTCTGGGTAAGTACAAAGGAACAATTTCCTTTAGCTTCAACCCCACAATAGCCCCAATTAGGCTAAAATCCAGGAGAGTACCTTTCGCTCTCTGTCCTAAAATAGACAAAGAAATTGACAAGCTTGTGAGCCAGGGGATCTTAGAACCAGTCGATCATGCACGCTGGGAGATGCCAATTGTGACACCTGTCAAGCCTGACGGGTCTGTCCGCATCTGCACGGACTATAAGTGCACAATTAATAAAGCATTACAACAAAGTGCATACCCTATACCCATTGTGCAGCACCTTCTACATTCGCTCAGCCCAGGAAAAATCTTTGCAAAATTGGACATGGCACAGGCATACCAACAATTGCCAGTAGATGGCACTACCGTGGAGGCCCAAACCATTGTGACGCACAGGAGTGCATTCAAATGCCACTGCCTGCAATTTGGTGTTAGTATCGCCCTTGGACTGTTCCAAAGTGTCATGGAATGACTTTTGCAGGGGATTCCAGGAGTCGTCCCCTATTTCAACAACATCTTGGTATTGGCTGCAAATGAGGCACAACTTTTAAAACATGTACGAGCAGTTTTGACCAGAATTAGAGAGAATGGTCTCCAACTCAAAAAAGAAAAATGTCAAATTAATGTACCAAAAGTCAAATTCCTTGGGTACCTGATAGATGGGTCTGGAATCCACCCAACCTCACAAAAAATTAAAGCTATTAAGGAAGCTCCCACACCTCACAATCAGACTGAACTGCAGGTGTTCCTCGGGCTCCTTAATTTCTACATCGTCTTTCTCAAACAGAAAGCCACTGTTGCTGAACCATTACATCGCCTCCTAGCCAAGAATGCAAAATGGCCCTGGGGCAAAGCCGAGACCGCCGCATTTACCGCAGTAAAATGACTTCTGTCAGTGGATTCTTTCCTTGTACAATACAACCAGACCCTGCCATTAGTGTTGACATGTGACACCTCTCCTTTTGGTGTTGGCGCTGTCCTCAGCCACCGTATGCCCAACGGAACTAAAGCCCCCATTGCCTTTTATTCCAGGACATTGTCCGCTGCAGAGCAGAACTACAGTCAATTGGACCGTGACTCTTTGGCTGCAGTGGCCGGAGTGAAAAGGTTCCATGAATACCTCTACGGCAGGGATTTTGAACTGGTTATAGACCATAAGCCTTGGTTAGGGTTACTAGCTGGGGATCGCCCCACCCCGGTATCATTATCCCCACGAATGACCAGGTGGACTATTTTCCTGACTACCTATTCCTACCGCCTAATTCACCGACCCGGCTCCACTTTAGGGCATGCGGATGCCTTGAGTCACTGCCCCTTGCCTGAAGTTCTCACTGACCCCACCCCCGAAATGATGGTCCACCTCATTGACTGCTTGGAAACTGGACCCGTCTCCTCTAGTGACATTGCACGCCACTCTGCAAAGTATCCACAAATAAAGTAAATCTTGAACTGGGTGTGGAGGGGGTGACCCAAGGGGCCTATCAGGGCTGATTTCAAAATGTATTTTGCCAAAGTGATGAATTGTCAGTTATTAACGGGTGTTTGTTGGGGGGGGGCGAGTAATTATTCCCAACAAACTGTGCATCGCAGTACTAGAAGCATTACATGTAGGGCATCCTGGGATAGTCAGGATGAAGCCTCTGGCAAGAAGTTACATATGGTGTTGTAACATGGACAGGGAGATCGAGGAATGGATGGCCACATGCACACCCTGTCAGGAATCCACACCATCACCCCAGAAGCGCCCGCTAAAGAGTGGGAGTGACCACAAGCACCATGGTCCAGAGTGCACATTGATTTTGCTGAATCGGTACATGGCCAAACATTCTTCATAGTTGTGGACGCTTACTCAAAATGGCTAGAAGTAGTCCTAATGACTTCAACTACAGCGGAAGCAGTAATCAAAGTACTACGGAGACTTTTTTCCACACATGGGTTTCCTGAAGTCTTGGTCTCTGACAATGGCCCCCAATTCGTGGCCATGCCATTCGAGACCTTCCTAGCATCTCTGGGAATCAGGCATGTCCTGGTCACACCATTGTATCCAGCCTCCAATGGTCAGGCGGAGAGAATGGTGAGATCTGCAAAGGAGGCCCTTGCTAGGATGGGCCCAGGTGAGTGGCAGACACGAATAGACCTATTGATCCAACATATCACACCCAGCGCTACCACTGGGAGAAACCCCTCTGAGCTTCTCATGGGCCGCTGCCTAAGGTCTCACCTAGACCAGCTACATCCAAATTATTCTACCACATCACACACACCCCGACTCCACAAGCAAGGTTTGATCCTTCTCCATAGGTGATTCGATATACGCACATAACTACACAGGGGGAACATTGTGGAGTCCTGCCACGGTAATTGGAATTACCGATCCTCGATCATATACAGTAGAGCTCGAGGACGGTAGAAATTGGAGAAGGCACATTGACCAACTCCATGACTGGATTTCCAGTTCCAAACTTAGGCAACCAACAGTAACTCCTGCACAAGATAGTCAAAGCCACAGGAAACAAAATAACAATCTCTCCATGTCCAACTCAAGCCCGAGAATCTCGGAAGACTTATCTGACTTTGATGCAGGCCTGCAGCGAGCTCTGAGTGAGTTAACTCCAGAAGCTCCAGCCGCGGCCTGTGGAAATTTCCAGGAGTTTCCATCAGGCAGAACTGCATAGCAAACAAGTCAGTCCAACTTGTCCGAAGGAACCACCTGCACTGAACTGCGCAGGTCAGGCAGAGCTACGCAAAAGCCCACCTACCTGCATGGCTCTATTACCAGCTGGGTTCATCTATCCTAGAGGGGAGGGGTGTTAGATAGAGGTTTCCACCAAGGTCCTCTATTCCGGCAGGAACAGAGGTCGAATCCCATTGGTCAAGAGGTCTGACAGATCCCTTTAAAAGGGGATGCTGTCCGACCTGTTTTCAGCTGGATGTTTACTTGATTTGCAATAAAGAGCTGTTGTTACTGGAGCCTTTGTGTGCCTTCCTTTACCCGATCTAACAGTAGCCATTATCATATAGCCAGGTCTACCCATGATGACCTCAGAACCTTAAAACCAACTCTCAGTTTGCATGATTATATATGACACTGGAGGGAACCTCTGCCTTGCCTTGCCTTCCCCCTAAGTCCTAGCTCTTCCCTCCCCAGTTGCC